ACGGACCACCCCAAAGACATGAAATACTTCTAAAGTAAAAGCAAGACAGGGATTCCTTCTGAGAGGCTCTATAAAAAGAGCCCTGTGGGAGAAAACAGTATCTTAAATCTTCGCGATAGATGTAGCAATAAACTCTGGAAGACTCATTCAGCTCCAATCAATGCACATACAGACCTGGCATCATATCACAGGTGAGTTCTGCAGGGACCAGTGTGGGTGAGCCTGCACAGCTGGCTATCAGTCCAGGGTGAGACAGCCAATGCTTTAGGTATGTTCAGTTTTGGCTTCTGCACTGTAATAAAATACCATGGCCAAAACAGTCTTGGGAAGGAAAGAGTTTAATTCATCTTACACTTTACAGTCCACCATGAAGGGAAGCTGAGAAGGGAATCCAGTAAGCAATGTTGCCCCATGGCCTCTGTTCCAGTTCCTGCCTTGAGTTCCTTCCTTTCTTGGCTTACTGGATTAATCCCTACAGATTGCTCAGTCTGTTTGCTGATCTGTGTATGCATGTCACAGCACATGCGCACACATTCTCTCATTTTCCTCCCTCCCATGCACAGGTAGGCACAAATAACTTGCTTTCTGTTTTTGTTTTTATTTAAGTGTCAGTGTGTATATGACACATGCATATGAGTACCCAAGAGACAAGAAAAGAGCATCAGTTTCCCCTAGAAGTAGAGGTACAAAAAGATGTGAGTAGCCCAACATGGGTGCTGGGAACTGAACTCACATACTCTAGAAGAGAAGCAAGTGTTTTTAACCAGTGAGCAATCTCTCCAGCCCATGACTTTCTTTTTTTTTTTAATTTTACTTGTATGAGTATCCACCTGCCTGTATGTATATGCACTGTGTCATGAAAAAATCTTAAATGTTTTAAAAAATTATTTCGTGTTTCAGAAAGATTTGCAGTTTTAGTGAACATTTTATATTTTGTCATTGACGATTCTAATAATCAGGAACTCTTAGTGTTTCTCTTATTGAACAAGTATTTCTTCTTGCACCACCATATCCATTTTGTATCATTAACTATTTGCAAAGATGTGTTAATTTTCAGTCTTTTACTGAAATTTCCCTGGCTCCCTATTAGATAAATAAACTTCCTAGAATTCCTGAAAAGGGTTTTGTTTAAGTTATTGCGCACACAGTTTGTTCTGTAAATAGTTTTGGTAACTGTGGGTCCCCTTAGTTATGTTAAGGAATTCTGGAATTGCCTGTTTTCCCTGGGTTTCTTGGATGCCTTGGTTTGTGATGACTGTCCCTGAAAGTTTGCACTTAAGGAATATGATAACTACCTGGCTCTCATACAAGCAACTTGGTTTCTTTTTCTTAGCAGTCCTAAGAACTTTTCTGTTTGGGTGGGATATACATCAGAGTTGCTCTTTGCAGATACCTGGTCAGCCTGTTCATCAGAGAACTAGTTGTCCTCTTATTTGTAGAATAAGTTTATAACATGAGTTTTCTTGGCCCAGCTAGGTCCCGCCGCCCTTCCCTGCCCCAAAGAAGCACACAGACACTATGTAGTTATAAAGCTGTTGGCCTTTGGCTAAGGTTTCTTATTCTTAATTATTAATGCATTCTATAAATCTAAATATCTCCATGTAGTCTTATCTTACCGGAGAAAGGTCCAGGGACCTCTGGTGTCCTATATCTCAACTGTTTAGCATCTCTGAAGAGAAGAGAAAAGAAGAGAGCAATTTCCTGTTTGTCCTTGCTTATATTCTGATTCTACCCAGCAATGTCATATCACTTCCTGCCTGCCTGCCTATACAGACCTCCAGACCTCCTTAGTTAGCTAGTGGCAATTTCTACCCAGCTATGCCACTTCCTGAGACCTCAAAATGACTCCTATCTCCCTATACTTCCCAGAATCCTCCTCATTTCCTAGTCCCACCTATCTTGCTGCCCTATTGGTGAACAGTGTTTTTTCATCAAACAATAAGATAAATATATGTACAAAAGACATTCCCCATCACAAGTTCTTACATTATATTTATTCTGTAGGTTATTTTGCTTCTTAGGAAACTTGATTAAGGTGTATGCTGGCCTTTTCTTGTCCGCTGGTTATATCACTTTTTCCTGCTGCCCCGTTCTGCTTTTCTGGTCTTACGTTAATTTTCTTTGTTCTTTTCCTGTCTTTATGTCTGTCCTACTTAAGTTTTTGATTGCTGTGAAGAGGCATCATGACCATGACAACTCCTATAAAGAAGTCATTTAATTGTGGCTCACTTACAGTTTCAGAGGTTTGGTCCATTATCATGATGATAATGCAGCATGCAGGCAAATGTAGTGCTGGAGCTCAGAGTGCTGCATCTTGTAGGCAACAGGGAGTTGACTGACTCACTGGGCATAGGAAACCTCAAAGCCCACCCCCACAGTGACACACTTCCTCCAACAAGGCCATACATACACACTCCAACTAAGTCAGAACTCTTAATAGTGCCACTCCCTATGAGATTATGGGGTTCAATTAACATTCAAACTACCACATTGTCTTTTATCAGATTTCCAATTAATTCTCATCTCTCTTGGTCCCTTAAAATTTATTCCACAATTTATTTCTGAAATTGGTCACTGTATATCAAAAGATTATCAATATCAAATAGAAATAGGTACTAGTGGGCAAATCCACCTATAGAATGTATCTCCCTATGTTCTGGACTAGTTGGTAAGGGCACCAAGATCATAGACACGGTCTCTGTTCTCAGGGAGACAGATCAATATGCTAACAATCAGAGATAAAGCAATTTAAAAGTGTATAAGCACAGTGGCAGAGATGGAAGCCTGGTTAAATCTAGTTGGAGGGCTGTGAAAGGCTTTTAGATAAGATCACATAGCAAGTGGGGTATCAGAATGAGAATGCAGGTGACCTGCACATGATTGAGATTTATTCTAGATCCCCGAATCCACTGATGACCGTAGACAGGAGGCCCAGGAGACCTCCTTGTCATCCACCCACCTCTGATGTTCCAAACACTTGCTCCATCACTCATATCCTCTGCTCATCTACGGGCTCCCTTTATACTCCAGTGTCTTCTCTGATTTTTAGTGTTTCCCATGATAATCTCAATAATCAGACAGGGAACTATCTTCAATCTTCTAAAGCCAACTAAGAGTCCACCTGGTTTTAAAGAAATCTAAATCTGCTTGAAAAGGTGACAAGCAGAGTTGGAGAGTTGCATAGCAAGCTCAGTGGTTAAGTGCTTGCTTTGCAAGCAGGAGGACCTGAGTTCAATCCCAGCAGTCGCATAAAACAAGGCATAACAGCACATCCCTGTAACTCTAGTACTGGAGGGTGAAGACAGGCAGATCCTGGGAGCTCATAGGACCAGCCATTCTAGCAAAATACTGATTTCCAGATTCAGTTAGACCCCTGTTTCAAAATATAAGGCGGGAAAGTTATTGAGGAAGTAAATCCATGTCAGCTTCTGGTCTCTATACATGCCTACTGGGGTGAGAATACCCATCTGTTTATGTGCACATTCATACACACACACACACACACACACACACACACACACACACACACACACAGCCTTGCAGGAATTCAAGCAGAATGTGTAAACATTGGCTATAATGGATTCTGCATGATGAGCCTGGCCTTGAAGACAATGAATCTATTCTGATCTGTGATCCTGCTACCCAGAGGTATTAACACATCACCCTATGCTCTGGGATGAAGTCTCTGCAAGCAATCAGCCACTGCAACTGATACTGAAACATCTTTGTGCCTTAATTCCTTGCCCTAAGCTAACCATCACCTATTCTCCAAAGAAAGGGTGAGCAGGTGACAGGATACTCAGAATCAAAGCCAAGAACAGGTACGTAATAGCCCCTTAGTAGCTATGTATTAGTAAGTGGCAAGGCTAAATTCTGAGACATCTGGATAAGACATTCCCCTGAAGAACTGGTGTTCTATTGAAAAGCAGGCCTTGTGGTAAATTCCTAGCCTTTAAGAAAACAATCCTGCAGTTTTGAGGATTTGTATTGATACTATTATTCTGCAGGCAGGAGCATTGAGAAACAGAGAAATGTTTCTACCAGGGTGAAAGATTCCAGCAGAATATAGCCCTCACTCTATTCCACTAGACATACATCTTCTTGCCAAAGACAGACCGTGTATTTGGAAGGCGTTGGCTCCATAGACTCATTCTAAACCACTGCTTGTTAGATGTGTGCCCTACTGAATTTCAAAGTGGGGAAGCTATAGGTTTTACAGATAGACATTTGTATAGATAGGTATATAGTTTCTTTTTTCCTTTTCTACTCTGTGGTAACTCAATATGCGCAGCACACATTTAGAAGGGTGTACCTTTCCCTACTGTTACCTGGTGGCATCTCTAGCATATGCCAATATCCTATGGATAAGCAATACCATTGCAACATGCTCTGACAGTTTACTGACTTGCTTTAGTGACCAGTGATGATTTTTTTATTTATTGTGATTTTGAATATGTATCTATCCGAGCCTCCTCTCCTGCTTAAAGCTGACACCAGTGTACAATGCAGTAAATACAAGTCATAAGGAAACATCGGCACATTTTACATACAAAAAATTCCATGGCAAACAAAGGACATGGCAGGCAAAGTTAAAGGGGAAAAATGGATGAAAGAAAAGAAATTTGCAGCAAAATGGTACTTTATTAAAATTTATTTTTTAAAAAAGATTTATGGGATTAGAGCAATGTCTCAGTGGTTAAGAGCACAGGGTGCTCTTGCAGAGGACCTGGGTTCAGCTCCCAGAACTCACATGTCAGCTCATGACCATCTGTAACTCCAGTTCCAGGGGAGCCAGTGTTCTCTCTGGTTTCTGTGGATACTTTATCCATGTGGTACACATACATGCATGCAGAAAAACACTCATGCACATAAAATAAATAAGTCTTACAAAGAAAACCCTTAATAAACAAGTTCATAAAAGTCAATCATACAAATTCAAACATTATTGTAGAAATATGCCATGCTGTGAATCTGCAATCCCCAGAAGAAATGGCTACAAATGGCATACATATAAAATATATTTGCATGTACTTGAATATGCATACATAGCATGCTAAAATAAAAATTAAAAGTAAATAACAACAATAACATGACTTACTGAATAGTATTATATGAATAAAAGGAAGGACCATCGTCTATTAAGTGGCGATCAAGACTGGGGCAAACAGAACCCTTACAGGCCACAAGTGAAAATATAAATTGTTACAAGTCTGAGGGACTTTCAGAGCAGGTACTGAGGCAGTGACAGTGAGGGCTAAGCACAGGCTCATGGAGGGCTCAAGGCAGCTTAAGCCACTTCCATGGGGACTGTAAGCTTTCTCCTCTGTCTCAGCTGAAGTGGCTGGAGGTCTGTGATGTAATCCCTAACCGTGATGGAGTAGAGGTTAACAAAGCCAGTACACGGGAATTCAATCAAAGCTTGTTTTCCCTTGCACTGAGGTGGCAATAGCACATAGGCTTGTTACTGACATAAGGGTGAGTTTCTCGGAGTCCCACACATGATCAAAAAGCCACTTGAATTTAAAAACATATCTTAGAATTGAGGGCCAGCGTTTTGCAACCTGTCAGTGGTAATGCTTGTGAGTGACTTTCATCGTCTGGTTATTGCCAGCTGTGACAGTCATATTCTGTCACTGTCTTCCCGGTCAGAAAGTGGGAAAGAACTGAGAGTATGACATACGTGAAGGTAGTAGAATAGTTCTTCCTCGGAGACCAGGGCGTTTCTGAGCTATAGCATGGTCTCCAACCCTCCCCCCTACCGGAAAGCGCGGAGAGCTGAGCCCCACAATTCAATCCTATTACAAATGCAAAAGCATTTAGAGCTAGGCCAGGCGCCACCCAGTGGGTGGTATCAAGATGACTAATCACTAATTACATCCTAGGAGTGACAGCAAAGGCGGGTGAGCCTGGGCGTCCAGCTGCTAGGCGAAAGGGCAGAGGTCAGGAGGGAGTGGCTGGTGACAGGTGCAGTTGAGGAGCTGAGGGGCGGGAGGAGGGGGGCGCTGGCAGCCCCAGCAAGGCCAGGAGGCAGTTGTGGGATTCCTAGGGCACAGTCTGGAGGCTCTTCAATGCAGGCGCCGCCTTCTCGTGGTTCCCAAATAGCTATGGCTCGGTGCCCTCACTCCAGCCCTGCCCCAGGCAAACCTCTCCTGGGCTCTGTCTGTCTTCTCAGGAGTGAACTAGCCAGACCCACAACAGCTGGTCAGGCCACGTGAGACCCACAAGGTCTGAAGCGGCACAGTAAGGGATGAATATTTCTATGCAGGAATTCACAGGATGCTTGGTTTCTACACGACTATGGGGATTGGGAATGTAAAACACCCCGGACTGATAGTTTTGTGAATTGAATTTTCAGACAAGTCATGGCTTCCCAGACTCTATCTGACATCACCCCTGCTTGTGTTCTGAAGAAGCTCGAGCAGCGGATGTCAGATGCCTGGCCATTAGGGTGCAATTCTGCGTTTTGCTACCTCTTCAGTACAAGTGGCTTGATTTTGTGCTTCCCTGGGCTGTTTTCCGGTAACTGAGAATCCCTGACCTAAGAGCAGACAAAACACGCCAGTCAACCAGTACTATCGTGAAAAACAATGCTTACAAAGACAAACACCTGTTTTTAAAAGTGGATTTAAATTCCTACGGTCTCCATATGACCAACTCTTTAAAATAAGAAATGCTTTAAAATGGAAAGGCAACCATATGTTGAAGATACAGAACAACAGACAAAGAAAATTTACCTCACCGTAATTCTGAGACATAAGCTTTCCAGTTGGGCCCTGAGATCCATCTAGAAATGAGGCAGTTTTGGCATTGCAACTTGCTTGTGGGTGTTGGCTGCAGAAATAAGGCGAACATGCAAAAGGTGAGGCTTCTACCACCGTGAGGCCTCTGAGCAAGGACCTGAATGAAATGTTAGACAGGCAATGTCTGCAAACTCTTCACTGAGAAAGAACTGTAAATGCAATGGCCTTGGGGAGGCTACATCCAGGACCACTGGGGCTGAAGCACAACAAGAAAGGCAAAGAGTTGTTAGAAATGGTGTTGGTGTGAGACGAGGATCAAGACTGTAAAAGGTTTCCTAGCCTCATGATCAAGATTTTGTTTTTCACTGAATGGCTTGAGACCCCAATGCAAAGGAATAAATGAGGTATTTGGAGGCTAGGGCTGTTGCTCAAATCGAAGCTATTGGCAAAGTGCTTGCCTGTCTTGCATGGGGCTATGGGCATAGCAGTGCATGCCTGTAATCTCAGAACTCAGGAGGTAGAAGCAGGAGGCTGCAAGTTCAAGGCCATGCCTAAATACGGACTTGAGGCCAGA